TTATTTTCGTGGAAAGAGCCACCCCGTGGAGAGTTAAATTTGCTATGCCTCGAAACGCGTCTTACTTTATTGCTGGTACTGCTCCGAGACGGATCGGTGACACAGAGATCGGTAGCTCTACATGAGTTATGACGTAAAAAAAAATTTGTTTTTTTTTTCAATGTCAATTTTTTTCATACATTTATTTAAATTTCTAAAAAAAAAAAAAAGTTTTGTTCGACAGATGTCAGTAATATTATACAATGGACAAATTTTTTTTTTTTTTTTTTTTTAAATTAAAGACAACAGCCCATTTGGTAGAGATATAACGCTGCTGCAACTGATATATTTTTATTTAGAAGAAAAAGCCCAGACCACGTGTGACATCTGGTCAAAACATTATTGTTTTCATTTCAGTCAATTTTTTTCTACTTTTGAAAAATTTGTCATCGTGATATATGTATATAGAATTAACTTGGATGTGCTTCTCCTCTACCTGCTAAAATAGGACGACACGCTAGGGTAGTACCACGTTCTGCCCGTATACACCGAGACAAGAAAAAAAAGCAACTCCTACAAACAACGTGTCTAGTAATCGATAAAAAATTTTTTCTTTCACACGGAATCATGAAAATTAAATGTCACACCTGCCGCGCACTACCCAGATAAGAAAGCAAGATTCAGCCACGCACACCATCGAACATTTATATTTCGTAAATGAAGAAGGAGAAGAACGACGAGGAGGAACGAAACAAAAGAAAATCAGGGCCCACAACGAAGACGTCCGTCAATCCCGATAACCTTTCGGCGCCGTCTCTCTCTCGATTTCCGGTGCTCGGGCGCACTCGACTCGGCTGCTCTTATCGCTCATCAACACTCGCGCTCTCCCCCGCGTCCGAGAGAGAGGAAAAAAGAGGGAGAGCCACCCATGGCTCGGAATTACGCGCCTTGAAAACAGACGGCAGCCAAGGACGGGCCGATAAAGGAGCGCAGCCTGTCCGGAGTAAAAGGAGGGAAGAGGAAGGAGCGACGGGCGCACGAGGAGCATGACGTCCCTCAGCCCTCAGCAGCGGGAATGATAGTTGACGCCGGAGGTTAGTCTCCTTCCCGCCCCCCTGCCCTCTTTGCCACTATCTAACCTCGAAATGCACTCCCCCCCTCCACTGGTGGGTGGCTACTTTTATCGGCCGACTCTCTGCTCGACCGCGCGCGCTATTCAATTTTTACCCCCTCCCCAACCCACCTTTCTTTAATCATCAGCCATCCACCCGATACGTACCTTTTTATCCGCAGTCCGATAGAACTGCTCCGGGGGCTCCCTTTTCGAGTGACTAGTCTCGCGGAAAAACAGAAAAGGGAGCCAGAGAAGTGTCTTTAATTTTAGATAAGGCTCGCGGAAAATTTGCAGGGATCGCTCTTTTCTCTCCGGCCGGTTTTAATGAGCTCGATCGGCCAGACATTGCGTACAGGGGGACCGGAAGTAGTCGGCCTCCCGAAGATCGGTATAGGACTCGTCCTTTTCTCTCCTCTGAGACGTGAAAGCGGAGCGGAACTATTTCAAAGAAAAAAAAAACAAACATCAGTGTTTTGTGTCTGTCGTTTCGCGCGTGGTAAATATTTTTCAGGAGCCCCGAGTTGTTGTTTGCTTATACCCTTTGCCGACGAGCACTGGACACACGTCCCAACAGTTGTCGAGCTCGCACCCTCCTTTTACACTTTTACACGACTACACTGGAGATGTTTAATTGTACATACGAAAAGTTATTGATGCAGGTATTGCATATTGAAAAAAAAAACACGCGGCACAGATAAACTTGCACCATCTGACATTTCGCATACGTATATATATATATACATGTTGCACGTATGCTCGCTTCTGCCGATGCGTTGGTAGGTATGCACATACCCGCGTCGACGCGATTTATGAACGTGCATTTCATTATTGAAAGCGAAACGTCCTCCATACGTAACCTGCATCCGTTGTGCCATTTTGTTCGACTGCCGGGTACTTTTTCTCTCCTCTGGCAGTGCTACATTGCTGTGCTTCCACTCTTTTAGCGATTGTTTTTCGCCAATCATGTATATTTGATCGTTAAAAATGACTCTGGACCCAGAAAAAAAAAAAAAATCACAAACGATCGCGCGAACTGTACGGATTAGCGATTGCTTTTATCTCGTCTTTCTTTTTGTTTTTTTGTTTTTTCAACGGCAAGCATCGACGCACGACGTCGGCTCCGAACGAAAAGTGCGAGTAAAAGCCTGTTTGGGAGATTATGTAAACACCCGTTTTGCGAAAAAAAAAGTTGGAGGGAGGAAGAATGAAGCCGTTTTAAATAACAAAGCCAAGTGCTCATTAACACGAGTACGGATCATCCGCGGAGTGTACCCGTCCATCGTTAAAACAGACGCGCGGCGCTGGCATTTGATAAAAGCTTTGTTTTTCAATTTTTAATTACTCCGAGGGGCTCCCGGAAGGGCGAACGAAAACAGTATTTTCGCATCGAAAGAGCGCGCTGGCAAACGAGTGGAGTTAAAAAAAAAAAAAAAAAAAAAATTAATGGAGTCCAAAAAAGAAAAAGGAACGGCGCCGTTAAATTACGCGCAAAATGGAGCCGAGTTTTAATTACTACTCGGGGAGGGTGTTGTGCCGGGGCGGACGTGACCCGGAGGTATACCAAAAAACAAGCCCGTCGATGATACGGAAAACAAAAAGCTAGGAAAATAACAACACATCCATCGCAAAGGCTCGCGTGTAAACGCACGTTCGAGCGTCGTCGCTCAAACTTTTGGCTCGGTGCTCTGCCCATAAGTAACACAAGTTGCGTGGCTCCCTATTTTTCGGCAAAATAAAAAAAAAAAAAAAAAAAAAAAAAATAAAATAAATAAGCCAAGGAAGAAAAACAAGCCTGCGCTGTTTGACAAACACGGCACAGGATGTCTAGACAAAGTGTTTTGTTCGCGGCTGTGCTGCATACATCTCAAGGGTACGGCTGAACTCAGGGGGTTGGGGTGTTTTTCGCCGTTTGCGAGCGTAGAGCGCGCTACAGAAGATAGTGAGTCTAGACGCGGGGAATTTAAAGCATCCCGGGATGTGGGGACGATCGATTTTGCAAACGCGCATTTTGGCTGGGTTGAAACGTAGTTTGCCACCTTTGAATCTAAATTTGAGATTGAAATTCGGTTTTCAATGTTGAAAATTTACTCAGACATCCAACATTGCGGGGCAAATGGTGAAAATACATTTTTCACGCTTGAAAAATGGCAAAACTGCCACTAGGGTAAAAATTAGTGTACACAACCACGTGTAAGTACTTTTCGGTCAAAGTCACGCAATTCATTTTACATGAATTCCAAGTAGAGTATAGTGATTAGCCATCACGATTATCCCATGATCAACTATGTATACAACGCCAATATAATATGCGCTTGTCTACAGAAAACAGCAGCGAACGCGCGTGAATGAGTTACCGTTAGATCGTGTGCGTGAGCAAGCCAAGCAAATTTCCACGATCAAGCGAGTTTAAACAGCTTGAGCGTACACACGCTAAATTTTCATCAACTCCATTACGATAGATAACGCAATCATTGGCGGATAGATTTAGCCCGACGCGCACTTTCTCGGATTTCAAACGCTCGCAGTTGACCCGCCGTGCAGAGTAATTCTCGTCAGTCCCATAATTACCCCGTAACTATACGTCCATTCGGCTCGACCAACGTCACGTCACCACTGATAGCTGCGTGCCGTATAATGTATACCAAACAGAAGCCACGCTGGATTTTCTTTGACACGTGATTCGAGAGGAGAGCACGTTTTGCCATTTTGTTTCAAAGAGTCCGTATCGGCATCGACATTGGTAATAACATTATAAAAACAAAAAAAAACTTGACAAAAGTGAAAGAAATGTCACGACGCGTACCGATACCCATGATGAATTTTAATACGGACTATGAGCACGTACGGAAAAAAAAGCAAAATTCACATTGGACTTTTAAAGCTTTGAGCTCGACCATCTAGTCTATTCGCGGTAATCGCGGCATAAAATTCCGTTGAAAAACCAAAGGAAAGAAAGGGGGGTTTTTAACGTCGAACGGGCCGATATTAATGCCCGGCACGCATGCACCGCTCGGTTATTAGCGTTCATTAGATTGCAGCCCCGAGGTCGCGCGGGTATAGAGCCTGTGCACAAGAGAGGTTAATCCACGGGCAATGAGCACAAGTGCAAATAAGCACGGGTTTCCTACCACTTGCGACTCGAGGCTCTTTAGCGAAAATCGGCGATCCGTGAGGCGGAGCCCGCCCGGTTTACCCGGTTACCTGGACTGACGGGGCACAGAATACACAGGGGAACGAGGGAAGGGAGGAGCGTTTGTATGCAGCGCCAGGACTGGCTTTGCCGAGGAGCAAAGACACGCGATCCATCCATACACAGATGTCCGTCCGGGAGAGAGCACGTGGATACAGCTGCCGTAAAGCTGCTTTTCCGATTACACACGCGCCCTCCTCCCTCGCCCTGGGCTATGAGCTATATATTTCGTGTGTGTGTGTACCAGTCCGAGTGTTTATGCATTTGGTTGTACATAAACGTAAATACGAGTAGGATACGCCGAGATTTCACAGGTGGCTGGAATCCTGTGGGAGGATTCATTTTTCCTCTATAGCCGTGCTTACCGACGGATGCTTTATTTTCGTTTTGCGAACGTTTTTTCGACCGCCCGAGTTTGCCTTTCATTCGAGCTCCAATTCGGTCGGGGCTTTTCAGGACCGATTGCTGCAGACACATGGCTATACGCGTCGTTTTGCGTTTTATTTTCAATTGCGCTTTGCGATTGAGATAAAAAGGTTTTTTTTACAATTTAACGTTGAATACAAAAAATCCTCTGCCACTCGCTAAGAGAGTGAAAAAAATTATTTCGTTTAAAAGCACCCGGGATAGGATGTAATCGGCCGTTTGGTGGCAAAAACCGTGAGCTAAACCGTCAAAGGGCGACGAATTATGTGACCTGTAAAGTTCGGATTACCGATGAAAACCGATCCCTGCTCTGCTCTGCCGCTTGGTGCTGATGACTCGGCAAATCAGCGTCACGAGTTTGTACCTTGCCGACAGCTTTATTTCAACCCATTTTCACTCATGAATGATTTTACAGGTAATTTTACGCTGAATAATGCAGAGGGATACAAAACTGGCCATTTGAGGAGTCATTCAAGACCAAGTTTGTCCTCATCTATTGAGAATAGAGTCAGAAAGCTAGCAAAGCGTGATCATGAAAAAGATTACCGAAAGGTGTTTACAGCCTCAGACGCACCATTTAACGATCTCAACGGATTATTATAAACTTTGGTTCAAAGGATTCCTCAAGTCACCGGCTTTGTTCCTCGTCTCATTATTTTGCCGAAAAGTATAGCTACAAAATTACTAACTAATGAAAATAGGTAAAACAAGGGTTCCAGTATGGTATAGAAACTTCCCCTGATATACACACTGAATGCCCTATACTTTTTCTTCTTCGAGCACTGTATAAACTCCCTTTATAAACTCAACTGTCAAAGTTTTAACCCCCTTGAAATTTTGGCGATGCGAAAACCGGTACCTCTACTCGTGGGTATGGTAATAGGCACTTCGAGCCCCTAAATTTCCTTATCCAAAGTACAGGGGGCAGCGTATATGCATACTCAGCCGAGCATTCAGTTAATCAAATCCCGAGGCTAAATAACGCACATACATATATACCTGAACGCGTGTGCTCCCGTTTCCAGTTGAGCCGATCGACGAGCGACAGACGGCCGCCCAGCAGCAACAACAGAGCCGGCTCACGGAAGCGGGTCACGAGCTCCTGCAGGAGGAGTTGGGGCCCATCAGTGACGACAAGCGACCGCGTCATCATCATCACTACTACCCTCAGCAGCAGCAAAGATGCCCAGAACAGGAGGAACCGGAGGAGGGGGCGGAGCCGACAATCGAGGAAAGTCGGCAGTCCGTGGTGACTCTGGGCTCGCGCAGCGTTTGCCGGATCTGCCACACGGACTCATGGGCCAAGGAGCCCCTCATCTCACCCTGCAGGTACATATAATACTACCTGGACGCGGTGCGCGTACCCACTTGGCAAAGGTGCCCAAGTTGCCCCTTGACGACGCAGCGATGGCCACAGGGTAGTGTTAATGGTTCTTTTTTTTTTGCACGGTATGGGTTGGCGACGGCACCCTAGGCATTCCAAAGGGAAATCACGCACGACACAATTACTGAAATGGTGGGGCTTGCGCGTGGGTGCGCCTCGGTGAACGTCACGAGTTTATCGGCAATCGCGAAATGGGGATTTTTTTTTTTTTTTTTTTTATTATAAACAAAATCAACGCAAGCTTTGAGGCATGGGGGACGGGATTTTCATTACTCGAGCGTCAAGTGCGGAAAAACTCTTTCGAGCGACTCGCCAATCATTTTTCGCGCAGTACACCGCCGATTGAGCTTATCGCTCTGCTTTGGGCTTTGAGCAGCCGGTGCGTAAAATAATTTCCATCCGTACGGGCGAAGGAATAAAAAAGAGGAGAAAATATTACACAGCTCGCCTAATCGCGTGTACGTGCAGCTCGTCAACATTTTTCGTTAGTTTGCGTTTGAAATGAAATTTTCTTGAAGTATATTGGCTTCGAGCGAAGGTATACGCACGGTTTGTTTGATTACGATTTGGCGTGTGTGGATACGTGAAAACTCCCTGGGCGATGAAATCACGGCGCGCGCAAGTTCGTCGTGAAAACGCGGGGCAACTTTGAAGTATTTCTTTGCCCTGTGTGCTTGGTAATGCACGACAGCTGCTGCCCGCCTTTCGGCGAACTACACCCGTGGACCCAAACGTAATTCGAGAACTCGAGAGTTTCCCACGGCATAAATGTGTTTGTTGGCTTTTATGATTTCACCAGCCCGGACTGGGACGAAAAGACAAGCCTAATTTGCGAGTGCGTTGCTTGTTTCAAAGACATTCAGGTAAATTAATTCAAAACGGAGCTACTGACGGTTTTCGCCCTTGTTACTCGATTACCCGATTGCATCACACATTTTGCGCTTTATTGTTGCGACGTTTCAAACGATTCGTGACAGTACAAGGGTTTTTTTTTTAAATTTACTTCCCTAAAGCGTATGTCCCTTTGACATCACTCATTTGATCCCATAGATGTGAAATTTGCAATGATGAGTGTTGACGCATCGTACACAATTTATTCAGCATCCACCAAAAGCTCGGGTGCACATCTGTTCATCCGCAGCACGTGTATGGTTTCACCTTCAATTGTGTGTGCATCTTTGAAGCAACGGCATTGAAATTTCGCGAAATCCTGAGCTTCTTTACCCCTCGTCTGTTTCACAGTCATTCGAAAGCCCCTCCTTTCGAGTGAATACGGGTTATTTGTCTCTCGTCGCGTGAATAAGCTATCGTCTGGTGCCACTTGATGCCTACGCTGTTCATACCGAGTGCACGTGTAGCTGTATCCCAAGCGGTGATTCATCGTTCTTCTTTTAGTTAACCCGATCAGAGGGAACGGCGAATGTTGACAACCGGATGCATGTCGTGTCAAAGTGGAAAACAAGAGGGAACATCTCTGGCGCAAAAGGGACAAGCGCCCTATTAACTATTTACCCGCAGTCGTGTGAGATCGAGAGAGTGCGCGGGTGTGACTGAAAAATTCGCTCTGCGGGAGCCTTTTTATTTTTGCTTTCGCTGATGGGTGTATACTGTGCTTTTGTCGACAAATTCGTTCAATCCTGAAAGCTCGAGTGCTTTCGATTTGGCAGGACGAGGGGTGTAACTGCGAGTTTTTGCTTACCTTTTTTTTTTTTTTTTTTGTATACGTAGTGAATCATAGAGTTTGTTCGAAACAGGCAAATGAATTTCACGCCAAGTATTTATTTGGATCGATCACGGTGTTTCAAGGCTTTTTTAATTTGAAAATGGAAAGTGTGTAGCAGTGAAAAAAAAAAAACAAAAAAAAAACGGTTGGATCGATACGTGAGGGTTTTATTGCAAAGTAGACCGATAAATTTGCTGCGATCTCGATGGATTTGTAGGTCGTCTCATCACGGTAATAGCTCTTTGATGCGTGGAGTAATGAGAGAGAGATTATCATCGGCTTGCGCTCTTACGGTATGATATCCATCGATGCTTTTAGATTAAAATTAAAAAGCCGTTGGCGATTGATGCGTTTCTCGCGTACGTTGTTGGGATACGATTTTGTTGCTTAATCTTACGATTTTAATCTCAAAATGAAAATTATTTACTCAACCAAGTTTTTTCGAGAAAACTATTGGTTATAAATCATTTTGGAACTTGAAAAATTCACTACCACATTGCATTACTTCGATTCGTTTCATAAAAATGGACAGCATTAATGAGGAGGTTCAACGATTTTCTCAAAACGCAGAGAAAGCAGTGAAACTTTCAGTAATTACCATTTAGAGTGTCGGGAAGATATGTGAATCTTTTAACAAGCTCTCAGAAACAGCAATGGATGTAGGCTCGTTATCAGTTAATTAAAATAATTTGTGTATAGTTTAACGCATAGTTTCCTAACATTTTAAATAGTTATTGTTAAAAGATTTACTGCGTACTTTTAATAATCCGTCCTACAAATTTCTTGTGCAAAAATTCGTAAAATTATACCTTGGTGTAAGTAGGTATGCACTTGATATACTTACTTGCTTTGTTGACTTGGCGAAACTTTAATGACGTAGCAGCTTCTCTCGAGATCGAGTTTCATAGCCTTTTGAATTAAACGAGATCCCAGAGTCTGGCTATTACGTGCAAAAATAATTACAACTCGCTCATCTATGTATGCACACCTAGTGCGCACTTTGTAAAAACACAAAAGTAAGCTTTGATCGTTTCCGTTTACAAGATGCAAAGGAACCCTGGCGCACGTTCACCTATCGTGCCTGGAGCGCTGGTTAAACCAGTCCTGCCGCAACTACTGCGAGCTCTGCAACTTCCGCTACGAGGCAGTCGAGACGCCGCGATATGGATGGTTTGCAGAACTTTCAATATAATTGACGAGTTTAAGCTATCTCGCTCGGCAAACTTTACCCTTTCGCCTCCCGATATATAATCGGCCAGCCCTACAACTTAATCGATATCCATGAGAACGACTAAATCCCTCATCGTTTTTTTTTTTTTTTTTTTTTTTTGCAGGTTCGAGGCCCTGAGGATATGGATCTATCATCCGAGCAATCGCAGACAGATTCAGGAGGACTTTCTCATCTTCACCCTCATCACTGTTTTCTCGCTCGGGCTCACTAGCGTCTGTCTGATAGGTTATACAAGTATTAAGACCAGTAGCTTTTTTCTACATCTATTTCGAGCATAACCACTTATTGATTGTTCCGACGAACATCAACAATCTTGCAATAATCGCGATATCAATTTTTTTTTTTTCTTTCCTCCCACGTTAAAGCGGTTCATTTTTTGCGAGGTACCATCGAAGGTGCTTACGTGTGTTTATTTTTTTATCCCATCCAGGGGCCGAATATTTGGTACTCGATGGCGCAGACGTTGGATACACCGAGCCCTGGACCAAAGCGTTTATCATACTCTTCATGATAATCGTTATTTTGGGATACGCCACATCCGTCTACTTTATGATAAAGGTAAGCTCAACAGTCCGTCTACGTGACTTTAACCCTCGATAAGATAAACGTGACGTGGTTGCAAAAGAAAAAATTTCACAAGGTAATTGTTTTCATTGTTTTCGTGCAACTCTTTTTTTGCAACGAATGGCAAAACGACGCGATAAAATTCTAGTTCGCAAGCCCTTGGAACGATTGTGCCTTGAGGATCATTTGGTTCGAAATCGGCTTAGCTGTAACTGTTCAAGCGTACGGCAGAGTGTGTATTTGCTCTAAAAGTTGCGGAAAATTTTATTTTGGCGTCCAAATAAACGCGCGAATCCGATCCCAGTCCAACAAGTGCAGGCACTCGAAGCGAATCCCAAATGAAATCGTCCCTCGTGCATCGGGATCAGCATTCACAGTGTAGTAGCTCCGCAAAGTGATTCCACCGCTATCTTATTTTATCGGGCCCGGCGTTTTCGTTTCCGACGGGCACCGGGCGAATCATCGCGTGGCTGTTTGTGACTCGCACACACTCGACGAGAGGAAAATCCCGGATCAGCGAGCAGAATTAAATATATATATAAAACCAACTTTCCTGGGTGTTTGCCTTCACCCCCTACCACCCCTGGGCCTTTCATCTCCTCCACTGTACCTATTACGTGGCTAAAAATCACCCCTGACTTTCAAAACCCCTTGGCTGGCTCGTTGGTTTATCCAAGTACGGGCGTTTTCCCTCCCCACTCACCGTTTTCCCATTGATTAATTTCCACCTACGACGATGTGATTTTTCCGATTGCAACGGACTTGCGTCTGAAACAAATTGCACATCGTGCGGGATTTTCATGCGTTTTTTCACGTTCCTGAAACGTATTTGCAGAGCAGTCAAAAATAGAGTTGCGAGAATCAGGATTAGTACTGCACCCACCATATCTTCACTTCATTCATTGTAAAGTGAAAAATAACAAATCACCCATTACATACAATTGGTTACACATTTCAAATTATTTAATTATCAATTTCACATCCGTAACATATAATAAATTGTATGGGTGAATAAATTTAAAAAAAATAACAGTGAGGCAAAGTCACAAGATAGTCCTCGAATAAAAATTCCTACACATTTCATGCGCAAGGTGTAATCACGTAAAAGGGTAAACTGAAATTCGGTATAAATATCTTCTCAACTGTAAATGTAGCATTGAAGTCTACCGCGAAAAAAAAAAATAATCCATATCAACTGGACTTTGAATTTCCCGTGCGCTCGCTTGAAGCTATCTTCGCTTGAAGAAAAATAAACAGAACGTCGGGCAGGGCCATAAGAAGAAGCAGCGCATAGCTGGAATACCGCAGAATTGCCTGGTGCAATTTCCGGCCCCGACAAAATTCGCGTGAATATACGTATAGTACATCGTTACGTGCGTAAGTAAGTGATACTGCGAACAAAGGAAAAGTATATACATGTATGCTTATACGTGAAAATGATGATGACAAGTAAGAGGGGGGAGGGTATAGTAGTTGCCACGGGCGCTAACGCTTATAAAGAGCATCAATTGAAACTTTGGTGCGAAACTTTGTTTTGCGGCTTTACTGCCCGAAGAGGATTGTCGAGTTTATGGGACTCCGGGAGCTTTGCTCTCTCCGTGAGTGCTCTATTTTGTTACTTACATGTATACCGTCCACAATTTTATCATTTAGATTAAAAGTTTGACCGATACGCCAATAAGACATTATTGTAATGTAGCGATATATAGTTGTGCAAGATAAATGGGTCTTGCAAATAGGCACGCTGCAGAGCACAATGTATATTTTTAAATAGGGGTGTTATCAATACGTTATTTCGGTCTTTGTTTATCGGCAATTACGTCGTCTATTTACACCTGAGGCATTGTTGCAGCTCCATTAGAGAGGCTATTGTCGAAGAAATATGAAGTTTAATTAAGTTGCGTTGAGCCTCGAGCCCAAGCTAATAGGATTTACAGTCGGAACAAAGTTGTTTATAGCACTCCGGAGTAATTACGATGTTTTCATCAACACGCGCCACATGCTTTTATTACAATGCGTTGTCTCCGAGATGTTGTGAATTTTTTTTTTTTTTTTTAGAATTTACAGTATCTGCTTTCTGTTGCGCAAACAGTAAAATCGCACTGGGAAGATCAGAAGGAAAAAGTAAAATTGAAGGCTCAGAGGCAAGCTGGAAGAGGGCTCATGGTAATTTAGAGCACGGATTTCGAAAGGACTTGGAGATTTGTCGAAATATGACGATAATACGATCCGAAAATCGTACTACTGTCCGAGGAAGTTGCAAGGATTTATTCGGCTCAAAGGAAATCGTGAAATAACAGCGAAAGCTGAATTAATATTCCATTCAAAAGCTAAATTTTGCATTAGAGCTTGAATAACGTTCATTTGATACTTTCACTAGAAGACAACGAGGTTGGGCTTTCAAGTTGGATATTTATTACTCTTCTACTTTTTATGATTTTCTGAAATACCAGTAAGAAAAAAAAAAAAAAATTTGCTCACCCACTCGAAAACTCTCCGCTATTTTTAAGAACAATGGTGGTTTTTGAAAAAACAAATTCACGTCTGTACTACCTAGAACAATTTGTACTTTAGAATTCCATCTGCATCAAAGCGAGACCCGAAGCGAAAATTGTTTTTTCAAAGGCAGAATGGAAAAAAGTGAGAAAGAGAATCCAACGCAAATCCGTGGTTCAACTCGCGTACATCCGTATAAAAGCAAAGGGGGACACGCCAAGAGAAAAGAAAGTGAGAAAAAAGTTCCAGCAGCGTGAAATTATCTCTCTAAATATCCAGGGCTGACTTCAAAGCCGTCCAGACGTGAATTAAAATGAATTTCGGGTGAGTCGCCTCGAGCACTTAATTCCAGCTCTCGCAAAGCGTTGATCCATTCGTCCCACTCTTGACGACTTTTCTCGTGCTCGGACACTCATTCAAGCCTGTTTGAGCGCTCATGTTGACCGTTTTACTTAACCCCTACCCTTTACCCACGTTTGACATGATAGTATCACACATTTATCACGCTCCTACGTGCACTAATGTCTAAGATACTGTTAACTGTAATCGAAATTGGGACGATCATCTGGAGGGAAAAATGATACATTGGACGAATTGGCGTGTCCTCAACTGAAACACCAAAGAAACAAATTGTAGAGAAGTATTTTTTCGAAAAACGTATTGTCAGTAGAAACAGTCAGCGTTTGGTCAGACATAGGGCACGCTTGTTTCTCCAAACTATTTTACCTCTCGTAAATAGTTTATGGGTATTAATATACAAGATTTTGGAACTGCAAGAGAATTTTCGTCAGTAGAAAAAGTCAAGGTATAGTCAGCCTGTCAGTACACTTAGCCCTCCAGTCTGTTTTGCCATATTATGTCTGAGTCTATAGATCCACCCATGAAAGTGCAAGTTTTTCGAACAGTATGGAAATTGTTGTTAGTAGAAATGGTAGCGTTTGGTCAGACATAGTGTACACTTGCTTCTCCAAACTCTTTTATGGCCGGTGAAGAGTTTATGGGTGTGAATGTACATAATTTTAGAACAGTAAGATAACTTTTATTGGGAACTGTAATTTTAAGGGAATATTAATTTTGAGCGAATAATTTTTGCTAGTGAAAACAGTCAGTGCATGGACAGACGGGCATTACTCCTAGCCCTTTATTCTCTTTGATTGAATGTAACCCATCTGTGACAAGTTTACAAAATTTTAAGATCTTTACAGCCAGCACGCTGATCGTAGTAATGCAGAGACAAACACTTATTGATTGTACCAGAGCAGAAAGAGATAGAGTGAGAGGTGCGATCGCCGATTCTCAGTTCCCTTTTCTCTTCGACGCGCGCATTCATGAGTTGTCCACGAGAGAGAGAGAGAGAGAGCGAGCATGTGATTAATTCACAGCTTTAGTCGGAATCCTCTGATGTGTCCATTGCTTTAATTAAACGAAAATCAATTAAACACGAGTCGGCGAAAGAGGCCACACGGAGGAGAACCAAAGCTGCTCGGCAATCTGGCGCCTCTGAGATCTATCTCTACGTGGGTGGGCGAACACCCAATGACGTATGCGCGTGATTCATGACGCGAGTATTGCTCTGCATAGGTCGGACGAACCGCCGTGCTGTGCGTGCAAGCCGGAGTTGTGGCTTTTTAACCCAGACCTTGTTTTTATTTTCGCGTTATGCAATTATTCGTTAGTTTTTTTTTTTTTCTTTGACTTTTGAGTATCACTGGTGAATACTTGGTACTTTGTTGCATTGTACGGTGTAAACTCTTATATTTCTATTAACTTCTAGCAGATCAGTTTAATGAAACGATCAAAACATTTTGTCATTGTAAGTAGGATTTTTTAAAAATAGAGCATGTACTTACTGCAGAGGCACACAGGATTGTAAAACCAATAGCTTTCACGTACCTGTAACAGAAAAAAAAAACTTTTTACATTGTGGAACCATGTTACATCCAAACTCGTGTGCATGAAAAACAATTTAATTTGGGTGTCTTTTATGAAGAAGGGAGCAAAAAAAGACTTAAACTATGCTTATTAAAAAAACTCCCTTTCTTCGAGGTACCAGAAAAACGCACCAACGAAAATGAGCCATTAGTCGGTATTGGGGATGGAATTATCAATCCGTAGATGGAAGGCTATCGAAAGCACGGGTAAGTAAAGAGCCGATGGTAGTAAAAAGGAAGGAAAGATAGCATCGAGCCGGGCTGTAATTCAGGCGCTGGGGTGAACCTGAGAGATAGGAGCAAAGGGCCTCGAGGCACGGAACCAGTCTAAGGAGCCGAGGTAAAAGGAACGGGGGAGTATAATGACGAGACGAGTTGCTCAATTTTTTTTTTTTTTTTTTTTTTCGTACCTATCGGCTGCGCTCACTGCAGCTCCATTGGCTCGCTAAAACTTTACAGCTCGCTCGTTTTTACCTCCCCTCCTCGTGCTTCTTCTGACGGTAAACAGAGGAAATGTTTCATTATCTCGCGCGCGACAGAGAAGAGAAAGAGAGTGAGTGTGGGTTGCGCTGGCCGGTTGGCTCTGATAAATTAAATAGAGCCACGGATGGAAAACTCTTTTGCATTTGGCACGTGGGCTCGAAGCTCTCCACGAGCGAGTGCGTATGGTCATTAGCCCTGGCGTTGAATCATTATTGGCGATGGCGACGCTTTGTGCTGCGTCGCGACAAAAAGAGGAGTAGAGGAAAATAAAAAATAAAAACAGCGTCACAAGGATGAAAAATCCAATTATCACGTCCGCTCCATTGTTTTTCGGGCAGGGGTGCTCCAGATCACGTTGATCGATGGAATAAAATTGCAAAATGTTGCGAGAGCGTGTTTTCCGGTTTAAATGAACTTCGCAGGTAGAAATCAAATAAGAGACAAGCGCACCCCGCCCGCGTGTATTTATCAACTGACCTCGGAGTCCTTTGGGATATGCGCTTGGATGAAAACGGTAAGCGTCTTCCTCAAAGGAACTCGAGTAAGCGGATATGTTGGCATATTTAATAAGGGATGTATTGCTGCCAAAGGCATTTCGTGGGCACCCCGTGTGTATTCCTACTTCGTCTTTCAAACTCGTATTTAAACCGTACCACTTGCAGTATTAAAGAGGACAACTTACTTCAAAGCAACAGATCCTTTGAAGCGTGAATTGGTGATACATGTTGCCTAGGCTCGCCAAGATAAATTACATAACCACTCGATGCATGCGTTTGAGACAAAATCAAGCCCAAGTTCGCCCAGAGATATCGATCCAGCCACCACTGGGTCACGGTGTTTCCATCCACGTTTTCGCCTCTCGTTTTCCCATTGCAATTATGCGCCTCTCTAAAAATGTTTGCTCCCGTTAATTAATCCACGCCCACCGCGGCCGTAACTCGCTCATTCGAAATTCCAAGCGCGGCGCGTGCCCCCCTCTTCCTCCCTCCTCACAATAGCTCTCCTTCATTCTTTTTCGCTCCCCCGCGCTCTCTCGTTACGCGCTTCCTCTTTCCGCGCCAAGTGGCGCACAGAATAATTCCACGAGGAGGGGCAGCAGAGCGAGTAGTTAATCCCGCGGTGGGCCCATTCAAGAAATTTTTACTGAATGCAAATAGAGCCCCGGCATCGCCTCCCTTCTTCTTTTCATCGCATTCATACTGCCCTTCCGAGCGCGCTCCTCCCCACGTGATTGTATTCCTCCCTTTCAGCGGGCCACCGCGATCCGCATCTGTTGGCCCTTATGCGCACCCACGTGCGATAGGCGCGGCTCTCGGGTGTGTTAGTCCGTACACCTTCATCCACTGCCGTTGGTTTTACCACTGTATGCTCTATGGGGCTCAACTGTTGCAGAGCAAAGCAGTACGCCGCGAAACCACTACACCGCGTGCTTTGTCCCACTGTTTTCGACTTCAACGAGATGACCCCTTTTTTTTCTCCTACCACCGATGATGTCTCTCGTCACTGTATAAACTCGCTCCTCCCACCCGTTGGAGCTATCCTCGTTTATAACTTTCGCCTTGGTTGCTTTATCGCTCGTTCGTGGGGTGCGACGGATGGGCGCCAATCACGAACGCGGTCTCGCGGTGACGGACTATCTTTACAGCGGGTGCGTGTGCCCGCGCGATTAGCTTCGTATCGGCCCAAATGGCCTCGGTTCTGTATGCGTATGCCAGTTTATCGAGTTATCAATTCTCTGGGATGGAGCCTCGAAATTGCGCTCCGATGGCTGGACGATGAAATAATAGTCGACGGAGGATCAATCTTTTTCCATTCGCATCAAGCTTGGACGGGGGATCGATTTGTGCCAAAGGGATAAACGTATTTGTTGGTGGTTGGGAAAATAATTTAATCTCTTCTACTGGAACATGCATTTTCGGGAAGAGATTTTTATTTTGTACTCTCGATGCATTAAATTTGAATCACTTTGGGGAAAATTCGTTTTTCAGTGACAATTACACGCGAAATTTTTTTGTCAATTAGTGGGAATATTTGAAAGCAATAATCAGTGAACGATTAACACGGAAATCCATCATTCATTCGATTGAATCTTTTCGATGAAAAAAAAAAAAAAAAAATCAGAGTACCTACAAATAAACAATCAAATAAGACGATAACAGATACAAAGTTCAAAAAAGTACACTCGATGCGCCGGATAAAAAGCTAACTCCAGATCAATATCACGTATCTGGAAAAAGTCCTTAAAAAGACTCGAGAGCAATAAAA